CACTGAAACGAATGAAAACATGATCTAAGAATCTTGATAGAACTCTATGGAAACAAAATTCGAAGTGCATTGTTTTAAAACATGTGTTTTGCATTGCTGTGTAAACCCAGCTTTAGTCTTAGTCTCAGCATAGATGTTTGTAGTATCTATGGTCTCAGAATCAGTGCATATAATCGTACGCATCATTACAAGTACATGTCTTTTCTTCCTGGTAATCGACAAATGCTTCGCTAATTCATTCCCATCCTCAAGCCAATTCAATGCAAGAGAAAATCTAATTAATTTCAATTATGATAACATTCCATACAGTTCCTAACAGAAAATGGGAATTGCTAGCATTTCAGATTGGATTGTCATGGTGATGTCAGTACCATGGAAAACAAGGGAGTTTTTACAGTTGGTATAATCATTGCCTCTAGGCTTTTATGGACTAGTATTATCATCATTATCATTATATAGTGTTGCATTCATTCTATTAGTAGTAGTACATCATTATCATCAATGATGTAATTAATTACTGCATTCCAGTCAACTCAAATGTATGACGCTAAGAATTTCACTGAATGTACATATGTGCATGTATGAAACATGTACATGCACATTTTGCATTTATTGATTTCATTAGTTACATGCATGGTACAACAGGGCACAGACCGTGTGTCTCCATCCTAAATTGCTTTGGTATAGAAGTGATAATGACAATCATCATTATCATACACAAAACACCCACTAAACATTTGAGCTCCATACATGTACATGCATGTACATTCACGTACCCTTTTCATCTTTGATATTCGTCTGTGATCCTTTTTGCTTGAGGGTGTCAAAGAAATTTTTGGACAAGCTGTTGGATTTGCTGGCCTCCTTCCCTCCTCCGGATCTATTCCCTTGAGTGCTCAGTATGTAATTGGATATCAAGTTGAGCTTTCGTGGGTCGACGTTTTCCAAGAGTGACATACTCCATGAGGTGAGTATCTGTCGCCCGACGTTCATTTCCACATTGAAAATGAACTCTGTCAATGCTTTATTGCCTGGTCTGTGATAAGAGAGAGAGGGGGAGGGAGAGAGAGGGAGGGAGAAAGAGAGGGGGAGGGAGAGAGAGGGAGGGAGAAAGAGAGGGGGAGGGAGAGAGAGGGAGGGAGGGAGAAGGGGGAGAGAAGAGAGAGAAGGGGGGGGAGAGAAGGAGAGAGAGAATATTAACATGCTACTCATAATAATAACAGCATTCATCATATCTACATGTATACAGGCTCAAGCCAGACCATTCCCCAGCCTACAGTAGGCTGGAGAATGGTCTGGCTTGCGAGACTAATGCTCAACAAAGTACACAAAATTTTACATGCATTATATATGACGTGTATCTATTTATCATTGACTTTTAATATTAAATGCTCCAGTACCTTTTATTCCATCTTCATAAGCTTTTATCAATAGTTTTTTCCATAGGTGGCGGAACATACCTAAATATTAGCTGATGGACAGGACTCCACATTGTGCATTAATGATTGGGAACCAACGAGCACGAATGGGGGCATAGGCACTGCATTCGATTAGGAAGTGATATGAGGATTCAATAGAGTTAGAGGCACAGAGTTGGCAAATGGCCGTGGAATTATTTGTGAACATGTATGTGTGGCCGTTGAGGTCAGAGCAGTGTATTAAAAGACGCAGTCTGAAACTAAGAATATATGATAGTGAAGGAAAGGACCTCAAGGATGTGATGGCTGGGATAGGTTTGGGTTTAGAACATAAGGAGGGTGGCTGTAAGCAAAAGATGTCTACTAAACGGGTGGAAGGAGTAGAATCGGGATATTCACTCCATGAACAAGCAATAGCAAATTTGACCAAGCATTTCCAGGTCCTCATGCAATGATAATCGGTGTTTGAGAGAAGATCTGCAAGGTCTGGTAAGTTGAGTCTGGATAAGTCTATGGATAATGATGTTAACAGGGGAGACCTGGAGTTAGAATGGAAGCGGTAGAATAAGACTCTCCTTACAGTAATTGAGGGGGGAAGGCATAGTATGCTCATTAAGAAGCAGAGGATAACACAAGATCAATGGGGTGGGTACCGAGAAGCATATGGACACCATGTGTTAGAGTATGGAGCGGTAAGCCAAGGATGGTCCTCAAGCATTTGACCTAGATTCTTTCAAGAATTAGTATAACAGAGTGGGGAGGGGACCAGATACCAAATGGAAATGTCAGGATGGGGAGACAAAAAGTGTTGATTAGAAAGATGGAGGTTGTAGGGTTAAGCTGAGAGTAGTGGGTGCCGATGAAGGAGAGAGCCAGAAAGGCACTGCGGAAAGAGGTACAAGTCTGGGAAGCCCTGTTGGTGTGGGAGGCTGAGGCAGACAGAAGCACACCAAGGTGTTTGACAGAATCGACCTCCTTTAGCATCCGATTAGCGAGCAGGAAAGTTGTTGAGCAGCCCGTCTAGCGGAGGGACTCCCCTAGTACAAGAATTACAGACTTGTCTGTGTTGAAGGAGTAGAGCCACTTATCAGCATACTGTTGTGCAGTAGACATGTGTTGTAGATTAATAGAATTGTCAGAAATAAGACAGGCATCATCAACGTATGTGGGAGCTCCTACATATAAAGAGTTTATGAAAAGCCCCACATTCAGTAGTTCAAGCTGGATCAGTAAGTCATTGACATACAGAGAGTACAGTATCGGAGAGAGAACAGCTCCTTGGCAAATGCCTTGCTTCACAGGGAAGTATTGAGACGTGATGCTATCCCATGAGACGGCAGATACTAAATGTGAGTACCAATAAAAGAGGGTCTTCCAGATTGAGGGGGAGATACCAGCTTGCATGAGCTTGAAGAACAGCCCGTCATGCCAGACAGTATCGAAGGCTTTCTTCACATCCAAAAAGGCAAGATAGGCTTTATGATGACAGGCTTTGCATTCAGCAATACCTTCTTGCAAAATGAGAGAGGTATGGAGGGAGCTGAAGCCCTGTCTGAAACCCCCTTGAAGGAGGTGTAGGAGGGGAGTGAGGATATCAGCGATGTAGGGATAAAGAACCTTCTCAAACAGTTTACTTAGAACTGATATGAGAGAGATGTCTCTGTAATTGGCAGGATCAGAAGCTACTTTACCCTACAGAATGAAGCTGGGACAGTCCCTGTGAGAAGAATACTCCACGTGGCCACTGGAAATTAATAAAATTTAATAATTAATAGACCCAACGTGTTAGGTGTGTACAACAGACTCACTCGCTTGGACAAAACTCTCGATACAAGGCCGTCAGAGCTGCTGAGGCTGGTGAGGTTTTAGCCTCACCACATTTATAGCACCAATTTTTATTTTTATTTAAGCAATTTTAAAAATTATGTATGGGTGTGGTCAGCCTTGTTTATTTAGCCCCCTGATCATGATTTCAGCAGTTTCCAGTGCTTTAAGGAGCAATCAGAAGTCGTCAGAAGTGCCAGTATGCTTGAAATTATCTTGACCCAACCCATAATTCACGAAAATGAAGGAAAACGGCGCTTTTACTTTCAAAAGGGGGGTGTGGCCAAAAACGTGGCGCGCTTCGCGCGCCCTCACGTCCCTCAGGACTCCCTCGGCTCACCCGTGGCCTCATCACTTCTAATTTGCTTCGGACGGCCCTGCGATAAAAGTGGCTCTCCTCACCAGGCTCGCCTTATTAGTCGGGATCGCTTTTGCTCGCCCCAATAAGCTAGTAGATTTTAAAAAGTAAGCTGTGATGCTAGATCTAACTATATGTTCGATGTTTCGGTTTTGTCTCACATCTAAAAGATTTATGTCAATGATGTCCGGCATTTTCCTTTAAAATCACTTGTTTGTGTTTTGAAATTGGATCTTAATGAATTTTTTCATTTGTATCTCTTGTGAACTTACTTCCCTTAGATCAATTATTGACTGTATCTGCTGTCCAAAATGGGCATAAGTTCATCAAGATGCTGTGAGTATTATATTGATTTACAGGTCAAATAATTATTATACTTTATTATAGATTTAGTAGAAGTAGATGAATTGAAAGTAAGAAATACTGAGATTTAGCTATACATTTGATGTTCCTTTGATCTTTTTTGTATTGACTCAACTTCAGAAAAAGATCCAAGAATTACATGTCGGTGCTTTAAGAAAAATTGATGATTCTCATAAGAAACATGTCAAAGGAGGAGTTACATGCATAAATGATGAAAGATTGCAGCTATTTCTCCATCAAATTGAGAATAAGATGTTACTAGTAGCTGTTGTGGGGGAAGGCAGTTGTGGCAAGAGTACTCTTATCAATGCCTTTTTAAGAGACAAGTATGTAAACAAGTAATTGATACAGGTGTGAGGCTACTATTCTTATGCCTTAGAATCTTAACATCAGGAATTGGAAAAGTTACTTGTTTCAGGATATTTATTGGACATGATCCAAATGTTCATAAAACTCCTTGTCCAAACTTCCCTAAAGGGTATTGTAATGTGAGTGTATGAAAAATAGCTAAAAGCAAATACAAAATTCTAATATCCCACATCAAGAGTAAATAATACCTAAAGGCTGTTCTTTAGGTATTATGTACTTTTGCCCACATTTAAATAAGTTTTTTTAATAGAAATGTCCATACTTGGTCAAAGGGATTGACCAAAGAAAAGATATATTTTGCCGTGGAGCAAAAGACATTGCTTCAAAAATAGCAGAAAATAACAAGCTAGATGAGAAGGATCAGATAGACCTTGTTCTTTATACTTACATTCCTTTATTTGAATCATTGGACACTTCGACTCTCCACTTTACGCCTTACCTTGTGGACTATCCTGGAGTTGAAGATTTGAAAGATTACGTTCAGTTTAGGATAGTGTCTGCTATGATTTATGTTGAGAATTATGAAAGGTAAAACAATAAAATAATACAAAACGTGATAAAATATGCACCTATTTTTATAGACTGTTACAAAATGAAAAAAAAATTAAAGAACACTTACATTGCAAGCCAGAAGATGGTAATTATAATTGTAAACTGTGAGGTTCATAAAACTATATACCGTATAGCTGGAAATATTTGCGGGGAATTAAATTTTGCGAGTTTGCGATTCCATTTAAAGCGCAAAATTTAAATCCGCAAAATAATGAATTCATGCATGACCACAGTAGATAATGCTACAATAACTGTCAAAACCGCAAATATTTAATCCGCAAACCAATTATTTTTAAGGATTCGCAAAATTTTCGTCCGCAAAATTAACCAGCTGTACGGTATTATGCTTTCAATTAGTGCTGTGTGCGGTAATTAAAATAACTGCTCTGCATGTTAGGAATAGTAATTTGTTTTATTTTCTACTTATAGCATCAAAGTTTTTCACTGTGAGCCATTTTGACAAATACTACACATCACATGCCGATGAAGAAAATCCTGGAACAGAGGAGACTAAAGCTATAGTTGCACGTAATATTGAGCTCGTTAAACGTGAAGAAGTATTTCCTGTTTGTGGTAAGTGGGCTCTACGTGCACACCTTGCAATGAAGTATAAGGAAAGAGATGAGATTTCATGTGACGCTGTTAAGGAGGCTTGCATATTATGTAAAAAAGTACAACCTAAATCGACGCTTTCTGATTCAATAGTTGAAAAAGCTTCACACATTTTAAATGTTTCAGCATTTGAGGAATTAGAAAAAAAGTAACATCTTAAACCTATACCAGTTTATAACCAAAATTTTATTTATAGATTAAAATGTTCAATTGATCAAACTGATTTCCAGCAGTGGAATATTACAGTGTATCAACAATGTTGTGCACTTTTAGAAGGCCCTATTCAAGCAGGAGATAATGCTTTACAGATTATTGAGTCTAAAATAAAAAGTAAACTGTACTGAGGGGAATTATTGAGCTAAATTTAATAAATAGGTAGTAGAAAAAATAAGCGGGAAATATTGGTTAAAATTCAAACTTTAGAGACTATGGAAGAAGCTGTTAAAAAATGCACTTTAGAAGAATTGGAATTAGATTCACACCCAAATTTGACTGTAAATTAATTTTTATCGTGATAATAATTTCAATATATAAAGTTTAGAATTTTCTTACAAAAAGAATACATAAAAAAATTGAAGGAAGACTAAAGTCATTTTATACAAGCTGTATAGATAGTGTTAAATCTGGTAACTACACATTTGGACAATTTATGGGAGGTAACATTATGATGCATATTAGAGTATAGATCTATGATATTTTTAATGTAGACAGGAATGTGTTTATTGAGCAGGACCTTTCCATTGTGATTATGGAAGAGTTGAACAAAGAAGCAAAGAAGCATATTGAAGCTGTAAAATCCAGGCTTCGAGAAAAATATAATGGATTGGCAAGGCACATACTGGGTGATGATCCTCACAGCACAGCTTTTGATGTGGAAGGTATACATCTGAAATCATCAAAATAGCATTATTGTCATGTATGCTTTTTATAGTTGAAGCCCAAGAAGTTAATAGCTGTTTTACTGGTGAGCCTTCTGAAGGCATAAAGGGTTTTGTCAGGTTAAATTGGTAATCTGTATAATAAATCTATGTCCCAATTAGTTATAAAGCTCGAGTAAAAAAGTGGTGGAATATTGGATGGGGAATAGCTAGTGGAGTGAGTGGTTTTGGATTGCCAGGCATTCTGGTTACGATGGGATTAGCAGTTTTATCGACACCAGTTTTAATCTCATCAGCAGCAATTGTTGCTGGGCTGGGTGGATCCGCTTTACTCATTAAAAAAGGATTCAACAGTACAGATCAGAATACAGAACTGAGGTATTATTATAATACTAATGTGTGAATAATTTATAAGAAAACTAGTGAAGATGAAGTCAAGCAACTGTGTGACAAAACAAATTCTGGGATTAAAAATTCTGCAACCACAATAAGACAAGAATTTGAGAAAGTATACAATAAAACTAATTTTACATTATAATGTTTTGTGCTATAACAGGCTGTAACAAGTACATTGAGTGAATACAATGAATCACTGAAGGCTGAATATGATAGCAAATGGAAACCAAAACTCAAAGAAGACTTTGACAAAGTCAGTGTAGGAAAAATAACATTACTTAAATTTTTGGGGTTTTACAGACTGTGAATTTCTTAGTAATCATGGGTGAAGAAAAGAGTGAGTTGAAACAAGCACTTGATGAACTTAAGGAGTATTGCAGTACTCTTCAATGTTTAACTGATGAAAGCAATAAACCTAAAGATGAAGATTTTATTATGATCACTGACTGATTCTGACCTGTGTACTTATAGTAGTTATGCTTCAGTTTTTAAAATAATATTTGAATCATACAATTTTGTCAGTACATTTTAGTCTGACTAAAAAAATAGATTACACTATGCAGCCATAATAGTTCCGTGTCATAAAAAGCACTGGAGATAAAGTCCTTGTATTAAGATTTGGGAAGGAAAGTGATCCAACATGTCTCAAACTAGACGACATTGTTAGTTGAACACTACACCCTGTATCTAACCACAGAACTATTGAAATTTTAAAATTAAAAAATATAAAAAATATTTATCATGTCGTTTAATTGTTTATCCTTAGCTAGCTAAGAATCAGGAGTTAGTATCGAACATGGCTGTCATATATACAGTGGACAGTGAGTCTGTGCCAGTATATATGCAGTATTTTGATATTGTAATGATACCGTCTACCGTGTTCTTCTTCAATGGACAACATATGAAAGTTGATTGGGGGTAAGACTATATTTGTAAATCTTTATTAATTTAAGAAGTAATTGTTAGAATTTTACTGGAAGCTTCTCTATTCCTAAACCTATGATTAGTATATGTATTTTATGTGTATATACATGTATAATGCATGTAAAAATTCTCTCTGAGTAATTTTTGGTGAACTATACTAATGCATGTAGTACAGGGACGTTGACCTAATTTTTGAGTAACTTTAAAAATTTGTAAAAAATCCAATTTTGATCAGAATCAACTCAAACTTGCTACACAACATAAGAACATGTATATGTATCAGGAAAAAATATAAAAATGGAAATTTCTCTCCTGTTCATTTTTGGTGAAATTTGACCCGTGACCCTGTACTATAGTACAGGGACGTTGACCTAATTTTTGAGTAACTTTAAAAAATCGTAAAAAATCCAATTTTGATTGGAATCAACTCAAACTTGCTACACAACATAAGAACATATATATGTATCAGAAAAAATATAAAAATGGAAAATTCTCTCCTTTTTATTTTTGGCAAAATTTGACCCGTGACCCTGTACTATATATAGTACAGGGACGTTGACCTAATTTTTGAGTAACTTTAAAAATTTGAAAAAATCTAACTTTGATCGGAATCAGCTCAAACTTGCTACACAACATAGGACCATGTATATGTATCAGGAAAAATATAAAAATGGAGAATTTGCTCCTAGTCATTTTTGGCAAAATTTGACCCTTTAATAGTACAGAGACTTTAGCTTGATTTTTGATTAACTTTGAAAATTTTTGAAAAATCTAGTTTTAATGGAATCAGCTCAAATAGCACAAAACAAGAAAGAATTTTCTATTTTTAATTTATTTTTTGATGCATATACATGTACATGTACATTTCCTGATGCATATATGCACACGTACATGTACATGTTCTTAGTTTATTCCAAATTAAAAGTAGAATTTGTAAAGCTGCTCTAAAATAATGATACTATTAATTATTAAATATGCCTCTTTTTGGACAAAATTATTCCATCTTTTACTATTCACTAGAACTGCTGATCACACCAAGTTTGTTGGTGCCTTCAAGAATTCTCAGGATTTCATTGACGTGATTGAAGTGATATACAGAGGAGCAATGAAGGGTAAATTCATAGTAACGAGTCCACTGGATCGGAGGAATGTACAACAATTTAACTTAATATACAATGACATATGAAGAGAATTGAGACACTTGACACAAAAATAATAACAACAACAACAACAATAATAATAATAATAATAATAATAATAATAATGATTAATAATAATACTTACAACGAAACAAACAATTATTGACAATAATATAGACATTGATACTGAATAACAACGATAATGATAATAATAATAACAGAAAAGTTAACAAATTTTTTAATATCACAACTACTTTTTGATCACAAATGTCGTATGTGTGTACGTGTGCGTGTGTGGATCAGTTCATTAATAGTTATTAAACTAGTGACTTATGTGCTATTCTTACTGGTTGCTGGTCTCTTATGTGATAAATGAATACTGTATTGGATTTCTCATATCTGTGGAGAGGTGCATGGTGGATGCTGTTAGCAGACGCCATATTGGGCGGAGTCAGGGATCGTAGAGTAGAACTGGGTGTCGGCTCGTGGATACCATTATTGAGGGAGACAAGGCTACGAGGAGGGACCCCGGGGGGCGAGATTTTCCCATTTCCGACCCTAGGGGGTGATATTTTCCCGTTTCCGGCTATGGTGGGCGTTGAATTGAACGATGACATGCTACGTCTACTTGAAGTGGACGGGGCAATCGGACGAGCCGCAGGAGGAGAGGTAGCTAAAGAGAGCGAGCGATTGATCTGTGTCTTTTGATCAGGAGACGTTTTCCGGTTCTCTTTAGCGGAGAGCAAGTCGGACTGTATCTGCTGGGTGGTCATCAGGGCGGCCCCTATGTCGTTGTGGAGGACTTGTTTCCGAGAGTCTTTTTGGGCGGAGCCATCTTCGTCAAATCCTTTCATTAACTCGTCAAGTTCCTGTAGGGCGGAGTCGAGTGACTCTTTGTCGTGTGAGGCCTGACGGGTTGATCCCTCGGAGGAGAGGGACTCGGGACGAGTGGGGGACCTATCCTCCGTGGAAAAGGAGACACCCATGGCCCCACGGGACGAAGTGGAGCCGCCCCCGTCACTAGATTGACTGGTTTGTTGATCCAACGAATTGATGCAGAGATCAGGCAACGAGCCGCAATCCTTTTTGGGGGTGTAGTTGGGGACGTGGCTCTTTAGACTGGACGGGTACGACATGTGAATGTGACTGTCGGCTAGTGATTTGGTCTTAGCTACACTTTGCTTTGGTTTGATTGAGTGAGAACCAACCGAAGGCATTGAGGCTCTCTCTCTTTGATGCTTGATCGGACTACGAGGTGGGAGGGGCGGTGGGAGGGGCTCAAGTGACTGCAGCATCTGTAAAGAGGAGTCCAATCTCAAACCTCTTGTCGTGGCATATGGCGATATTTCCTCCACCTTCCCTCCACTGTTGAGACTGATCTGGTAGCTAGCGGTTCTTATCGGGGAAACAGGTTGGATCGTA